TTTGGCTAAACTACTGGTAGTTCTTTCATTAAGAGTCTTCATTGGTGAACTCTTTGAGTCTTTTTTTTTTTTTGTGTGTGAAAGCGCCCTTATTTTGCCCTCACTTAAGCTGGATTGTCCATTAGACTCTCTCAACTCTCTTAATATACTATTCATTGTTCCCTGTTGTCTATTATTGGGGAAACATCTGTCAATCTTATTGCTTTATGAGTAATCAGTCTTTCTCTAGTAGCTTTTAAGAGTTTGGTATTTTCCAATTTCAGTGCAATGTTTCTACATCTGGATTTATTTTAATTACCCAGCTTGGGCCTGGAGGTACATCTTTAATTCCACTTATTTCTTCACTTTTGGAAAATTACAGTCATTTTCTCTGAATATTGCTTCCTTCTGAAATCTTGTTAGACCTATTTTTGGGATGTATAATTTCTATCTTTGTATCTATTTGTGTGGCATTCTAGAGGACTTCCTCAAATCCATCTTCAGATCAATTAAGCCTTTTTATTGAAGATTATCAAAATTTCTCCTGTTTGAGTTTATTTCAGAAACTGTACTTAAAAATTTTTATATTTCTCATTGGATCTTCATAGCTTGTCTTATTTCATTTGTTTTTGTTTCACACCTTCTTGTTCCATTTGTATGGACATTTCATAATTTAAAAAACTTTTAGGGGTCCCTGGGTGGCTGTTGGTTAAGCGTCCAACTCTTGATTTTTGGCTCAGGTCCTGATCTCATAGTTGTGAGATCAAGCCCCACTTTGGGCTCTGTGCTGATAGCCTGTTTGGGTTTCTCTCTCTCCCTCTTCCTCTGCCCCTCTCCCCACCAAATAAATAAACTTTTTAAAAATAAAAAAAAATAAAAATAACTTTTTATAATGTCTCTTTGAATTCAGTTCATCTGCCCATAGTAAGGTTAACTTTTGACTTTCCATTTGTAGATTCTGCACATTCATCTTGAGTAGGAGGTTCTTAACTGTATCTCACTGTTGTCACTCACCTCTTCCTTTGGAGCAATTTTGCATTTTCTTCCACTGGCCTTACTCAGGACTTCCATTCCAATCCAAGTTTCAGATTGGCAGTTTGGGCTTTTGCCCTCCAGAGGTTTTCAGATTATTGTGGATCCATTTACTGACTTGGAAGATGCTGGCTTTGTTTGCTGTCAAGAGGTTTTATCCGTGCTTCTCTGCCTTTCCTAAATATTACTTTCTGTAAGCAGTAGTCAGCATTCAGCAGCACCTTCTTCAACTTTCTTTCCTGGAGCACAGGTCCACACTAGCCTCTCCTTCCAAGCAGTGAGCCGGAGCCAGATACTTCACCTCCATGCAGCACTGTGGTCTCCCATTAACCCACAAGCTGAGCTCTTGGCTCCTACTTTGTCTTCTGGAACCTTGAAAGTCTGTGGCTCAGCCTACCTATCACTTATTTGCATTTGTTATGTTTTTGATCCTCAAGCATATTTTGCTTGTGCCTTCCTGCCCACCTTCCTTCCTTTCAGTGAGGCTATAACTTTTACATTCTTTCCTTTTGTATTTTTGCTCTTGTTACCTTGCTTTGGAGCAGGAACTATTAAGTTATAGAATTGGCCCAAGGCTTGAATTTCTGATAACTTTTTTTCTTTTAATACTTGTTACCTGTTATGACACATTTCACTGGTTTTCAACAAATCTAAATTCCTTTGTGTTTAGATGGAAATCGTGTTGAATCTATTATTTCTTACCATAATTGTGATATTTCCCCTATAATTAAGAGGTAATCCAACTATAACAAAATGTTTATTGTAGCAGGAATTGGTCTGTAAAGCCACACTTTGTTAAAGCAATTGTTAGGAATCGGGGAAGATCAGGGGCCAAACACCTTTGCTCCTCTTTATTTTTCCTCCTGCATTTGTTAACTTAGCAAGAAAATACAATGTAAGGAAGCATATAGGGCATAAAATACTAGAGGAACCATCTCCAAATCTCTGAATCGTTCTGTTTTGTTATGGTACTTATTTTATTGATTGTTTGGACCTTTTGTTCTCGAGAGCCCTGCTGCAACTAAATATGTAGTAAGGTCTTTCAGGTGAAATGTTGCTATGTATCAGGAAACTTTAAATTGCAAGTGACAGAAATTTGATAACAATAACTTAATGAAAACAATTTTTTTTATCCTATAATGGGGAGTGATGCATTGATCTGATCTCAAGGGATGACTGGATTCCAGGACTCATCCTCTTGAAAGAGTCCATCTGTTTCCTTGACTTTTCTCTCTGTGTTGGAGTCCTTTCCCATTTGAGGAAACTTTTCCACATTAGTTCAGGAACAGCTAAGAGGGTTTGGAGGGGGATAGATAGGTAACTTCAGGTTTAATTCAATAAGACTTAAAAAAAAAAAACAAACAAAACAAAACAAAACAAAACAAACAACCAGATTGCTCTTCCCTCCTTCTAGCTTTTGAACATAAAAAAAATCCCAGGAGGGGTGCCTGGGTGGCTCAGTCAGTTAAGCATCTGACTTCAGCTCAGGTCATGATCTCACGATTTGTGAGTTTGAGCCCCACATCGGGCCCTATGCTGACAGCTCATAGCCTGGAGCCTGCCCCTTTCCTACTCATGCTCTGTCTCTGTCTCTCAAAAATAAACATTAAAAAATTTTTTAAAAATCTCAGGAAAAGGCTTTGCTTGGCCTGTTTTACATTACATGCTTCTGTTTGCACAGACCACCCTAGCTAGGGTCTTCAGTCCTATGCCCATGCATTTAGGTGGATTCATGGGTACTATGATTGGTATTCTTACTAAAAGTTGTATCATTAGAGGGTAGTCCTCTAACCAGGAGAAGACAGGAAGAGAGGTCATGAGACAAAAAGAGATGCCTGTGTCATATACATAATCTATATTTTAACTTTTTATTTTTACAGAAAGAAAGAGTTTACCTTCAGGTTTTCTTACCTAAGGGGAGCAAAGAGAAGAGCAAACCAATGTTCTTTTGCCACCGATGGAGCATCGGAAAAGCCATAGACTTTGCGGCTTCTTTAACCAGTCTTAAAAATGACAATAATAAATTAACAGCTAAGGTAACAACTGGTCATAATTTTTTCGTAAAAGTTTTAGGATACTCTTCTACCAGCATGTTTGTTTATTACAGTATGATTTATTTCCCTTAACAGAAATTAAGGTTATGTCACGTTACTTCAGGAGAAGTCTTACCCTTGGATCATACTTTGGAAACCTGGATCGCTAAGGAGGATTGCCCTTTGTATAATGGTGGAAATATTATCTTGGAATATCTTAATGATGAAGAACAGTTTTTAAAAAATGTTGATTCCTATTTGGATTAGTCATGTAAGGATTCAAGCCAGAAATGATGAGGAAAATTCTCTGTTAAGTCCATTTCTTTTACTACACATATCACATATGTTTATTCCTAAAAGTTCCCTTTTAATTTATTTCCATTATGTAATTTCCATTATCAATTTTCAGTTAAATTGAATTTGAGTTTTTGTGTTTTAAGCTATGAACTGACATTCAATTATTAGCAAATTTTTGTATTTAACTAGCTTTTATTAGGTTATGGTTAGTAACAACAAAAAAGGTATATATCATTTATTTTAATGTCAGCTGTTGATTGGTTGTGACTCTGCTGCATATCACCGTTACTCTAGGATCTAAGCTGAAGGAAGGAATGACTGCATTTTGGATATTGCTACTTTTACGACAGAGGAAGAAAGAGCTGACTTTTAGAAGATACACATAACATGGCTAAGCCTAGCATCATGAGGCCAGGAAGTATAGCCTTAACTATATGTCAATATGTGTAAATTGATGTGTGTACATGAATCATAGAAACTTACAAGAGTGAATGAGATGGTCTCCAAGTTTTTGGATGAGAGGAATCTCAGGCTTAGGAAGAGGAAATGGTTTTCTTGGTGTCCCCTAACTGCTTTGGGGCATATCTCTCTGATAAAGATCCTCTTGCAATAGGATTCACCTTTATTTATGTAAATGTATTACAAATGAAAGGAAAGGTGAGGTAGCACAACTTCATTACAGTGTCTTTATATCAATGCAAAATACATGCCTAACTATTTTTAAAATGATGTGTCTGATTGGGGTGCCTACGTGGCTCAGTCAGTTAAGTGTCCAACTTTGGCTCAGGTCACCATCTCACCATTCATGAATTCGAGCCCCACATTGGGCTCTGTGTTGACAGCCCAGAGCCTGGAGCCCGCTTCAGATTCTGTGTCTCCCTCTCTCTCTGCCCCTCCCCTGCTCGTGCTTGCTCGCGCTCACTCTCTCGCTCTCAAAAATAAACTTAAAAAAATATATTTAAAGTGATGTGTCTGACTGATATATTCCATCAGTACTCAACAAAGTACTACCACATGGAAGGAATAGAAATAATTTCTATTTGTTTTTGTCCCTTGTTGGGGAAGGCTTTGTCCCTTTTCTATTTTAATTATCATGGACACATATAGTGGTTTTAGGTATAATTAAATAAAGGAATAAACTTAGAATATTCATTTTCTCTCTTCATCTTTCATGCAAGGAATGGAGGTAACGTCTGACTTCTGTCAACTACTGACACATTTGTTTGGTAGGCACTCAAATAACTACTTTAACAAACAAGAATTTGATTATAATTGTGGCGGTGAATATGATGAGAAATATACATTCTTATAACTATAATACAAAACTCTGTAGCAGGTGCCAAATGAGTAAGCAGACAGTAAATATAGCTATGATGTTCCAGTGGCCCTTTTATCAGAAACTACAGGACCAGAAGTAGAAATAATCCTTAAATATATTCCCAAATACCAGAAAGTTTTAACACAGACCAAATACCTTAGCATCTGTTATAATTACTTACACATAGTAGGTGATCAACACATGCCTCATAAATTGAACTAAAGCTAAATATACCAGGAAAAATAGCAATGAGTGCTGAGAAAAGGGGAAGTAAGGCTGGCAGAGATTGAGGGGGAAAATGAAGAAGAGGTCCTATCCTTGATTAGAGAAGAGACAGCAGCATGGAGGGACTTGTGTCAATAGTGATACTGGTGGTAAGTTAGGTCAGGTCCCAGATAGTGGAGCAGACCAGTCTGGAAGAGACACAGGTACCAGCATCCTCAGACTCTAGGGACCAGGGGTTCCAGCATGAGTAGTCCCCTAAAGAGAACAAGACTGTGGGGAAGAGAGAAAGTCTCTCTAGCTTCTCATTTCTAAACTACCCTGAAATCAGAGAGCCTTCTCAAGCTTTCTTTTTAGGGTTTTTAGTTGAGTAAGCCTGGAGGAAAGAGATTAGATTTCGGCTTGATAAATCCAATCTGTTAAAGCTGTGGCTTTTACATTTTCATAACTACAAGTTCAACAGGTTGTGTTACTCACTAGATACCTTTGTGGGTTTTTTTGTTTGTTTGTTTTTACCTTTGTTTAAATTTTTTTTTAATGTTTATTCATTTTTGAGAAACAGCATGAGCAGGGGAGGGGCAGAGAGAGGGAGACAATCTGAAGCAGGCTCCAGGTTCTGAGCTGTCAGCAAGGAGCCCAATGTGGGGCTTAAGCCCACAAACCATGAGCTCATGACCTGAGCTGAAGTCATACACTTAACCAACTGAGCCACCCAGGCGCCCCTCACTAGATACCTTTGTATTTTGAAAAGCTTGATAGTCATGCTCCTACTGGACTTTGATCCAGCAAAACAATTGTTACCTAAGTCCTATCACTTGAAAAGAATGTTCTGTAGCTTTTTTTAAAAAACAGTTTTGCTGCATATGTGATTTATTTAAACTTTCAGAATGATTAGCAAACTTGTTATTTCCCTGCCTTCGTCCTGCTTTTGTGGTTTATGACTCTGGGAGAGGCAAGGAAGTCATTTCTCAGTGTTCTGAATAGAGCAAAGACTGAAAAACTATTTTTCACAAAGAATGAAGAAATGGTCATCAGAAGATCAAGTTAGGAGCTAAGTGGCCAGACTCCAGCCATCTCTTTTTGCAATTAGATGATCTTAAACTGCTTCAAGTGGTGACTGTGACAAAAACCTCATGACAGGTGAAGATGGAGACACAAATTTGAACATTCAACTATGGGATTCTGAAGGTAGGCAAGAAAGACTCATTCAAGAGGTAATGTTAAAGTCAAAGTGCCTAAACAAAGCAAAGATGGTCTTCAAGGCATTAATGCGTATTGACTGAAATACCCTAGTGCTTATTCTATCAAAGTGCTTTTGGTTGCAATATTGAATTGCAGATGTTTCAAACAGTATGAAAGACTCCTTTGCCAGTAATTCTTGGCAAATTGGGTCAATTACACAATTTTTTTCTTAGGCCATTTTATGGATTTCTTTGGACACAGAATTTGGTGTTAAAAGAGGCACAACATACGCTTTGGATTTGTAATGACCTACACATGCCCAGGAGGAGTGGGGTCTATTTCTTTGATCTGCTTCTAGATGGAGATCTCATTTTTTGCCATTTTGATAACTTCAACATTATTGGCCCTGATAATGATACTTGCCAATTCTTATATATATAGTAGGCTGTTAGGGTTACATCACGTACATTTCATGTTGCTGTTTCTAAAATTGTATCCATATTCCTTTTCATCATTCCAACATCAGTTGGAATAGTCCTCAAGTGTAGCATTCCTGAAAAAGCAAACTTCCTGGAGGGAATAATTAGACCTGAGTTTTATTTTAATGTTTGCAGGGATTTATTTGACTTTCAGAATGTTTCTAGAAATAACCTAGAGGAGCTTTCATGGGATGTCTTAGTTCCTGCTTTGGGTTTGTTATTTGGGTACAACTTTGTTAAAATTTTTGTGCTGCCTGTTCTTGTTTGTAAAATTGTTGCTATTGAAAGTGGGATACCGTTTCTTAGCTCTGCCATTATTCAATTCTTTTTCACAGTCCAAGGCCGACTTAGCTTCTGTGGCTCCTTTTATAGTGGCCATGTATTCTGGATGTGAAATGTTACTGATCTTTCTGCTTTACAAGGCTAAGAAAAGATGTATTCTTATCATAGAAGATAAAAGGAAAAAGAAATCCCCTGGCCAAACTGCATTACTGAATTCCCACTCTGAATGAGGTACTGTGGGAGATTCCAAGAATATCAAAAAATGATGCCTGTTTTCAGTTCACTACAGACCATTAATGTACAGAAATTCAGAGGAAGGTGCCCATTTTTCAAACATGTTGGTTTGGAAATGTTTTAGAGAACTGGATTTGAATAGGACACTTTATTGTCTCTTAAACGGGGACGAGCAATAAGAAAATATTCCTTCTGTAGTGATTGTGATCTATCCCAAGTATTTAGGGAAGGGATCTCCATAGAATAGGCGGACAGTAAATGCTCACACAGTGAATGAATATGTAAATTCCTATCTGGGTCTCTCATTGGCTCATCAGAATCAGTACGTCTTAAATGTAGCACCTCTGCTGTCCTAACTGTACTTACCTGGTCTTGCACATCTCCCACTCAAGACATTACCATTTGCCCTGAAACACAGGGTCATCTCTTCCTCTTCTCCTTTCTTCCTTCATTCTTTCCTTTTTAGTCAAATTATTTCCTACAAAAAGTTTCCTATAATATCTTTTTCACCAGTCTCTTCATTCCCAGTAATATCACTTTTGTTCTGCCCTATGTTGTTGCTTCCCTAAACCTTTAAGTCGCTTTTGGTCCTTCTGTCCACTTTCCAATCACTATCAGGTTAATTTTAAAATCTAACTTTGATCATGTATCTTCCCTGCTACAAGCTTCTTTGCCTTTTGAATAAAGTTTGTATTTCTTAGCGAGGTGTTTATTATACTCCCTGACTTCACTCTCTCTTTCCAGTTTTATCTCCACTCCCACTTCTTACACACAACCTTGCTCCATTCAAACTGGATGACTTGGTATCTCATGAATATGGCTGTGTTCATGCTATTCCTACAACATACAAGGAGGCCTACCTCCTCTTTACCTCGATTTTGACTATTCCTACAGACCCGGCTCCAATGTCACCCTCTCCATGAAGCTTCTGCTAATCCCACTTAGCAACCTGTAAGTGAGATTTTCTCTAAATTTTCCTCACAATTGTTTATATTTCATATTTAGCCAACTTGGCTTGTTTTACAGCTGTTTATATTCCTGTCATATTCTGTTTTGCTATAAATTCTTGAACATGAGAATTACAAACACAATATATAAACAACACGACAGTGTAAGCAGTATTCATTTTGATACTCCCCATGTCTAGCACATTTCCTGCATGCTTATTCAAATAAAGGGCTGAAGTAAAGACTAGGCCCCAAATGAATAGTGTGCTTGTTTTATAACACTTCTCAATTTTCAGTGGCAGTTTTTAGCATCTAGTTCATTTGTACTCGTCTCCAAAGATCATGCAGGCATCAATATTGAGAAATATTTCTGTAATCCTGCTCCTCACATTTCCTAGCCCTGGAGTAGGCAAGTTAATCTTTCTATAGGCCAGTATCCTCACCTAAAAAAATGGAGGTGGTAATGTGAATTTTGTGTCGAATTTTGTGAGAATTGTCAACTAAGAAAAAGAGGCAAAACTAAAGAAAAAATAAAGGTCTTTTCTTTGGAGTGTCGCAGTTGCAATTCAGAGAACACAGATTCTGTTAGCAACCAGAAAAGTGCCCCACTCATGTGGGCAAAGCAAGAGTTTATTCTGAGAAAGAATTGTGTTGCTTACGTGATTTTGATAAAGAGAAAAAAAAAAAAAAAAACTTAATTGGTCCCCACCAGTTGAGCTGACTTTTATTGGTGCTATCAAATGCAACTAATCTTACTATGTTTTAGTTAACTATTCTGTCTTCATGAAGTTCAAACCAACAGTTTTATGGTCCTAATGCCAGTTCTTTTTAGCAACTACCTATAAAACAGTTGCCACTTTGGACCCAGTTCACGAATTCACTAGTTAGAAAGGAAAATGGAGCTTCAAAATGGGATCTCTCATGTTCGGAAATTTTATTTCACAGAATTAAATGAGATCATATGTACTTAGAGTAGTACTAGCACATGGTACATGTTCAGTGTTAGCTGCTGCTTTTTTATCCTGGTGTAAACTTTGACCCTGAGATAGCTGTTGGTTTGAAATGTTAATCTGGTATCTCTGTATGGAGCCTAAAACTTTGAACATTTTCCTCTGTGATATTCACTGTCATACCCATAGTATTAGGGAAATTTTATTTAGTTTGGCAGCTAATATGACAACTCAAATTCTTTTTTTCTAATTTCACCAAACCCAGTATATGAATACCAAGATTTATAAAAGACCTGGTGTGGCATAGTGATAGGTGGTTATTTATTCACCTTATAAAATGATAATTGCCTACATGGAATATTTTACTATTGACCCCTTTAAACAGAAATCTCTGCTTAGGAAGTTTATAATTAAGCTTATATAAATTTAACTTACATACATTTTCATGCACACACGTTACTGATTGGGAGACAAGAAATTGCCTTTCTAGTTACACTTTGTCATTAATCTTTATCATTGCATTGTGACCTCGAATAAGACACTTCTCTGCATTTCGTTTTTCAAATCTGTAAAATGAACATATTCAAATGAGGTTTAAGATCTTGCTCAATTCCTTAAGTCTGTGGTTCTGGCCTAAAACTCTAGGACCTAACATCATAGGCAAGGTGATGGGGTGATGTGAAGAAGATTCAGGTTGGTGGGAATTAACCACTCATAGATGCTGTTAAGGCAAAAACAAAAATAAGAGCTTCTTGAGAGCAGGGACAAATGCTATTCTTTGAATTCCCTACCATGTTTACCTCAATGCCTTGAATAGAGATCTCATTAAACATTGAATTAATTAATGAGCAATATCTATAAATGTCAAGATCATATACTGTGGAACCAGACAATGCCTTGGTCTGCAGTTCCAGTTCTGTCACCAGTTCAGTGACATTGGTCAAGTTACTTAATCTCTCTAGGCCTAAATTCATGTGCAAAGTGGGGATAATGACACTACAATGATATTGTTGTGAAGGTTAAGTGAGTTAATATTAGTCAAAGGTCCTCAGAACAATGCTTAGCCCATAGTAGACTCTATTATTATTACTCTGTACATACTTGAATGATCTTTAACCTTAAAAGCAGCTGAATGTACACGGATGGAATTTGGAATATATTTTCTCTTACAGATGTATCCTGGAAGACAGATTTTTACATGGTAAAATTTATCTAATATGGATGGGGATGAAGTTATTCAAGTTACCTTTTTTTTTAAAAAATGAGGGGCATAGAGCATGCTGTCTGATTGCTTGGATTCATACCATTTTATATAGCCTTGATTGGTTAGACAAAAAGATCCAGAGATAGAGGGGTAAGATGCTTTTTTTATAAAGTTTCTTTCCAACCCTCAGGAGGGGGTGATTCTATGATACATTGTTCCAAGAATAAAAATTCTATCTGCAATTCGAACCTGTTATGTCAAAACACAAAAGCTTGTTAGAGATCCTGGAGACTGCATCCCTGAGGACCTGTACACTGTATGTAAATCTTTCATTTTAAAATCAAAGTCCACTAAATAATTAACTAATAAAGTCTTGGTATGTGGAATCTGATTTTTCCCCCCAGTAAAAGGAGTTGCTATTTAAAAGAAGTCAGCTTGGGGCGCCTGGGTGGCGCAGTCGGTTAAGCGTCCGGCTTCAGCCAGGTCACGATCTCGCGGTCCGTGAGTTCGAGCCCCGCGTCAGGCTCTGGGCTGATGGCTCGGAGCCTGGAGCCTGTTTCCGATTCTGTGTCTCCCTCTCTCTCTGCCCCTCCCCCGTTCATGCTCTCTCTCTGTCCCAAAAATAAGTAAATTAAAAAAAAAAAAAACGTTGGAAAAAAAAATTTTAAAAAGAAGTCAGCTCCAGAGACTTAAGTAGAGTTAACAAGATACCCAAGATTGCTGGGAAAAGAATCACCAAGTTGGTCCCTCTTTTTTCAAATATAGGGTAATTGGGCACTATTACTCCTGCCCATGGGTGACCTTGGCACCTTGTGGCTGGGCAAAGGCCATTCCCCAAACCCCCTCCTTGTATAGTCAGGTGTCTGGGAAAGTATCAGGGGCATTGAGTCTCACCTCTTTTCCATTTTGAGGTTTAGTAGAATTAGAACTCTCATGGATGGAAGTCAGCTGGTAGGAAAGGATATCAGAGACCCTGAAGAGGGAACTCGCATTTAGGGAAGTCTGGAATGGTGACCTGGCAGGCATATCAGAAGCAGATTTTGTCCTGACATATTATGTTGCTGATACTGGAACCTGCCTGACCCCCAACCACCATGGAATAGCCAGATGATTTGGGACTTGGAAAAATGGCTGCAGATAGGGCTGTAGGTTTCAAAACTGTTCCTTTGGGGAAGCCGAGAGCAATGTACCAGGTACTGAGGTCTCTGCAGCCATCTGAACTACTCAGACCACTGGACAAAAATCTTTTGGATTGTGTGGGGGACCAGTTTCCAGCACTGCCAAAACCAGATATGCGCGCTAAAAGATTATCCAATTTTAGGTGTTTGGAAGACAGACAGTCACTGAAGCAACACTGACTTGAACAATTGTGAAGTAGCATCTGAGGCCCCTAGAAAAAGATTGGACTTCCTGCTCATTTGAGGTAGGTAGCCTGAAGTGTTATTTGAATAAGAAGTAAGATTTGATCTTCTGACTTAACGTTGCTTACACTGACTTTTAGCAGCTTTGCCAAATCAGTGAGACCATGCTCATTTAAAGGAGGTATAAACAGGACTCTGGTGACATTTTCTGCAAATGCCTGGAAAATTTCATTTGGTTACAAATCAACACTAGTTGCTATGTAGTTGGCAAGATTATCATAGCTGTCAACGAAGAACCAGAAACCTAATTTCTTTTTTTTTTTAATTTTTTTTCAACGTTTATTTATTTTTGGGACAGAGAGAGACAGAGCATGAACAGGGGAGGGGCAGAGAGAGAGGGAGACACAGAATCGGAAACAGGCTCCAGGCTCTGAGCCATCAGCCCAGAGCCTGACGCGGGGCTCGAACTCACGGACCGCGAGATCGTGACCTGGCTGAAGTCGGACGCTTAACCGACTGCGCCACCCAGGCGCCCCAAGAAACCTAATTTCTCAAGTTTTCCTGAATTCCTGAAGACAGCACAGGCTGCAGAAAGGAGGTTAGAACAAAAAAATAAAAAGAGGCCAAATCTCCAATGCCTAAGCAGTTCTGGATCCAGCGGTCAGGACAGGGCTAGAGCCTCAAACGCCGCAATCTGGGCGGATCTATCCCAGACGGAGTCCCGCCTATGTGGGCGGGGCCGCAGGGGTGGGACTTCCTGTCCGGAACATTTTTTCACTCACAGGAAGAACACAGCCACGGATCCTGCCGGTAGTCTAGTGATAGAGTCTGACCTCTTCCAACTCAAGGTACGTCCTGCGTTCCTTCTACCCCATACCGGCTCTCAGGCGGTCTTGGCGGGAGCTTCGAGCCTGGGTGCTGCGGAGCGGCCCTCCGCGGGCGGGAGTGGGTGGGCGCGGTCAGTCGTGCAGGGGTTGGCGCCCAGGGACAGAGGCCGCAGCTGGGGCCGCTATATCTCTGCAGTGTTGTCCTTAACCCCCGCCGCGGAGTGACCCCACAGCGTGTAGCGATTTCGCTCGCGGGCTCTCTCTGCACCTTTGCGGCGGCTTATGTCGAGTAAGTTCTTTTAAATTTTACTGATTCCAAGGCAGCTCAGAGACCTGGCATATTCCCAGGGTCATGCAGTCCCAGTGTAACCCCCTGATCCTGTCCTGTGCAGTCGTGCTGCTGGGAACTGGTGACAGGAAGGTGGCTGTGTTCCCACTGTCAGGAAGGCTGTGACCAGCACAGAAACAGTTGAAAATGTTTCAGGTGTGTTTGTCTTTAGGAAAATGAAAGTGAATAAATTACTTCTCTCTTCGGTCGAGAAGTCTGCTCAAAGTGGTTAGGAATATAAGGCACTTAACACAAATAATCAAAACCTATGGAAGATATTCCTGAGTACCCTAAGTGTGATACACCAAGTTTTATGAGCTCTTCCAGGCCAAGGCATCTTCCCAGCTTCTCCCTGCATGTTCCTTCCTAAGGAATGTCATTGAGATTCAGGACTCGGTTGTTGCCTACTCAGGTGACTTCTATAGTATTTATGTCTGTAGGCCACACCTCTTCTATGAGTTCAGGATCCATACGTTCAACTGCCTAGTGATGTCTCCTTTTGGTTTCATAAAGTCTCTCCCGGACCTCTACTAATTAAACTTTTGATCTCCCTACCTCCTACCCAAATTCCCAAATTGACTCTTTTCTGTTATTCTCTGTTTCAAAAGATGTCGCTATTATCCATTCAGTTGTTAAAGTGGAAAATCTGGGCATCATTGAACTCTTCCTCTTCTTCCTAACCTATATCCAAATTATTGCTAAATGTCCCCAACTTTACCTCTCAAAGCAAATATCTCTTGATTATCTCAACTTCTCTCTATATATCTCTCCCTCCATTCTCCCAAGTTCAAGCCAACTGTCAGGTCTTCTCTGGACTACTGCATTCTAATTCTAAATCTCCAATCCAGTCTGCCTAGCATCCACTCTCCACTCTAACCTCCACCCTCCAATCTGTTATCATCAGTAGCCAAGGTGAAATGATTCTTCAGGGCTCTCAAATCAAATGTTACCTCTAAGGCTCTGATTGGGATGATCCCTACTATCACCCCAGTCTCATTTCTCCTACCTTTCTTTGAGCTCTGGGCTGTCACATTTAAGCCTTTTAGTTACTTTTCACTTACATCCCATAGTCTAGTCCAATTAGTTAATACCTGTTCATTTGTCCTTTAGATCTTGGTTTAATCAGTCATCAGGGCAACCTTATCTGATACTGAAAGCCAGGTTAAAGCTTTCCTGTTCCATGCTTCTCATTGCATTTCTCCTCCTTAGCCTTTATTTTTTTTTTCTGGTGTTTTGTTGGTTTGTTTGGTTTTGGTTTTAATAACACCTAAGGGCACCTGGGTGGCTCAGGTCATGATCACCTGGTTCATGGGTTTGAGCCTCACATCGGGTTCTGTGCTGACATTGCGGAGCCTGCTTGGGATTCTCTTTCTTTCTCTCTCTGCCTCTTCCCTGCTCGTGCGCTCTTTCTCTCTCTCTCTCTTTAAATAAATGGACTTAAAAAAAATATATGTCTACCCGCTAGCGAGTAAGTATGAACTGGGCCTGTTTTTCCTCACCATGACACAGTATATAATAGGTATTCAGCAAGTAGCTATCAAATGATTAAATAATGAATTCTGAATAGAGAATCCGTAGAAGGAAGGGTAGCTTTTGAAATGGGCATTAAAGGATTGGTGGGAGTTATAGCCATGCTGTTAGAAGGTAGAGATATGAGTGGCTTGAGCAGTTTCTGACAAGGAAGCAGATGCATTGTGAGAACATCTAGATCTGTTAAGCCTGGAAGAGCGGAATAGGAGTAAGAATGGGGGGGTGGGGAGTTTGAAAACAGTTCTTGAGATACTCTAAGCAGTTACTTGTGTAACTCAAAAAGTGGCTTCCCTTTTATATTAAAAAAAGTTCTTAGGAAGAAAAAGGGACTACAAGCAGAAACCACTCACTGTATATGCCCTTTGCCCTTTCTTCTCTTTCCTACACTGGGAATGCCATGGTAGGGAATTGTGAGTAGTCTTTCAGGTGACTGTGTGTCAGTTATTCTCAATTATAAAGGTGATACAATTGGAGTTGCTTTATAAATGATGACACATTTTTCTGAGTCTGACCCCTCGAAAAGCTTCACTGTCCCAGGTACCGATTTTAGAGTGTGGTCAAGCCAGTGGTGAGTTATTTTGGTATTCTTTTCAGAAGTCAGTAGAAAACTAGACAGAAGACAAAAATATGTTGGCTTTTTCTGGGAAATAAATTTCTTCATTATTTTTTTAGTCCCCAAATTTTCTTTCCCTCAGATTTTGTAATAGAAGATCAGAGGACTTTAAAATCAGAAATGAATTCAACTTCTGTGTCATCTGTTCATATAACCTTGGACAAATTATCATCTCTGAGCTTAAAGTTCTGTATCTTTACAACCTCATTAAAAAACCTCATATGTAAAACCCCAAACTGCCTGACGTTCATTAGTACATGTACCTTCTGTGCCTTCCTTTCAAAGCTTCTCTAATTTCAGTATTCCCAGTGTTCTTTTTTCACTTTATTCTCCACTCAAGCATGCACCTATCTTTTAAAATACTTAATGTGCTTCTTTCTCCATCCCCCAAACCAATGTTGTTTTTTAATTTACTTTTTAAGTTTTATTTTTAGAGAGAGCTTGAGCAAGGGAGAGGAGTAAAGGGAAGGAGGAGGGGAGGGAGGGAGGGAGAGAGAGACAGAGAGAGGGAGAGAGAGAATCTTAAGCAGGCTCCACGCTCAGTGCAGAGCCTGACATGGGCCTCAATTGCATGATCCTAGTATCAAGACCTGAGCTGAAATCAGGACACTCAACTGACTGAGCCCCCCAACCAGCTGAGCCACCCAGGTGCCCGTGATTGTTTTTTTTTTTTTAATTTTTAATGTTTTTTTTTTTGTTTTGTTTTTTGTTTTTTGTTTTTGAGAGAGAGACACACAGTGAGTGGGGAAAGGTCAGAGAGAGAGGGAGACATAGAATCCAAAGCAGGCTCCAGGCTCTGAGCCATCAGCACAGAGCCCGATGTGGGGCTCGAACTCACAAACCATGAGATCAGACCTGAGCCCAAGTCGGACGCCTAACCGACTGAGCCATCCAGGTGCCCCTGTTTTTTTTTTTTAATGTGATGTTGTGGGCACTTTAGGAAACACTTTTATGGAGTATTTTTTTGTTATGTAAATGATTCTACAATGTAAGAGATTGAGGTTAAGAATATTTCTTAATGGACCTTGAGTGAATCTTGAGAAATATTGAACTCTAAGATACGGAAGAAGGCAAATCCAAAATGAAAGTATTTTGCTAACTGAGTTGTTTTTGTGAACTAACTATTCTGTAATTAAGACTTAGGGATTTTTAACTGCTTTGTCCTGACTCCTGTTAAATCTGCTCAGAAGATGGCTGATCCTTGGCAGGAATGCATGGACTATGCAGTAACCCTAGCAAGACAGGCTGGAGAGGTATGAACGGAAATCTTGTTGGCCATTGTGTGTCGGATGTGGACAGCATGTGGTTGTTGTGTGAAATAAAACATGTATCTTGATCTGCACTTGTTTTCATTTTACTAAACATTTTAAACGGAGTCAATACTCTGATTTTATGTCACTAAACTTTTTGTGATGACAATTGTGAATCTAAAATAGGATGTATGATTTTATGACTTTCTACCTAGGTCCTAACCACTAAAGGTTTATTTTGTGTACATTGTGGTAAGACATTTTTAAGAACATCATTTAAGACTAGATTGAATGTTTTAAACCATTTCTATATTTCACCTTTTTGTTTAATTTAAAATGACATGCATTTTCTATTTGCTTATCAAAAAAAAATCTTTTCAGGTGGTTCGTGAAGCTATAAAAAATGAAATGAATGTCATGGTCAAAAGTTCTCCAGCTGATTTGGTAACAGCTACTGACCAAAAAATTGAAAAAATGCTTCTCTCTTCCATAAAGGAAAAGTATCCATCTCACAGGTATTTTTTATTTTAGTCTCACATGATAAATTAAAATGTAGTTAGAGTCCATGTACTAGACAAAAATTTTGAATCTAGACACAGAAATTGACTTTGGTTGACTTAAGCTGCAAAGCAATTTATTTGGAGGGTGGTGGGTGGCTCAGAAACCCTGAGATCAGGGCTTAGGCAGAAACCAGGAAGGAAGACAGAGCTGAGATGCCACAGGAGCCATTGCTTCACATGCCACCAGTCGCCTCATTGTTGACTCTGCTATAGCTTTGGATGTCTTTGCCTCATTATCTTAAGATTACAAATCCTGGGAAGGAACATCTTGCTGAACTCGGGTTGTTTGCCCAAACTCAAGCTGCCAGGAAGTAGCAAATGGGCTATTTGGATTCCTACATAGTAGGAGTAGTGTTTGGATGCTGGGAAGCTAAGGTCACAAATGTCTGCCATAGGCACGATTTAGAAGTTGAGTTTTATTCTCTATATTGCAAACTTTTTTACATTGTAGAGTGGTGGTAACTCTAACGATTTTGAGAGAAAAATACCAAAATCAGGGCTCTCTTACACACAGACATATTGTAGAAACATCATCATCACTTTAAAATTTTTTATTTTTGAGGAAGAGAGTGCGCAAGTGAGCGTGAGCAGGGGAGGGGCAGAGAGCAAGGGAGACACAGAATCTGAAGCAGGCTCCAGGCTCTGAGCTGTCAGCACAGAGCCCGACACAGGGCTCAAACTCGTGAACTGTGAGATCATGGCCCAAGCCAAAGTTGGACGCTTCACCAAATGAGTCACCCAGACGTCCCACCACTTTAAAGTTTTAACATTGTCATTCTCTCCTTCTTGTTCATGCCATTGACTATTCCTGGTATTTTAGCCATTGAGAAGAAAAAATGTTTTAAGCTGTGGCTAAATATACTTCCTCTCAATAAAAAAGGTTTTACAGCTAAGTGAAAAAGGGATAAAAGAAAACCATAATTATAGGACAGTTCAGTATTGAATAAAGGAAATAAAATAATCAATAAAGGGAAAAAAAAGCCAATGAACTCAGACACCATTTACAAATTCACCTGGGATTTATTACATAGCATGCTTAAGGAAGGCATGCAGACACAGTAATTTTGGTGGGTAATTTGCTTTCTCATTGACTTATTTAATGATCTCTATGTTACTTATTGCTGCATTAATTACCCTAAAAACTTTGGGGCTCTAGACAAGCATTTATTATCTGAGTTTGCTAGAGTCGGTAATATGGAAGTAGCTTGGCTGCATGCTTCTGGTCAGAGTCTCATAAAGTTAGAGTGAAACTGTCGGTCAGGGCTGCAGGCATTTCAAGACTCACCTAGGGTCAAAGGATAAGTTCCCTTATGTGATTGTTGGTGACTTCAGTTCCTCATGGGTTGTCTACTAACAGCTTTCCTTAGTTCCTTGCCATGTGGGCCTCTCCATAGCACACCTTATAACATGGTGGCTGCCTCCGCTGCCCTGGAGCAAGAGAGGGAAGGCGAGAGAGGGAGAAAATAAATAAGATAGAAACCACAGTACCATTTGGTGAATGAGTCTTCAGAGTTGCATATTATAACTGCTGCTTTGTTCTGTTGGTTAGAAGGGAGTCACTCAATTCAAATTCACACTCAGGGCGAGGGGTGGTTAAGTTCTCCTCTTAGAAGAGCGTAAGAGAACTTGTGGATTTATTTTTAAAACCACATTTCCTTAATAAGTCCTCATCTGCGAGAAATGTGTGTGCGTACACATGTGTGTACCTTTGTTTTTCCTGGTATTCCATCTGAGAATTTTGAATTTTATTTTTCACATGACTTTGTTCCAGGAGAAATAAAGTTTTCTCATTTTATCGGTCTGAAGGAACAAGGAACAACAATAGAAAAGTGGTACATGGACTTTTGTTATGTATTCTAGTCGTCTCTGAATATAAGGAAATGTAAAAGTTTGAAAATTGTTGAAAGCAGTATAAAGATTTTGAATTTTTCATTCTTGGTTTTAGTTTCATTGGTGAGGAATCTGTGGCAGCTGGGGAAAAAAGTGTCTTAACCGACAGCCCTACATGGATCATTGACCCTATTGATGGAACAACTAATTTTGTCCATAGGTATGTTTTTAAAATGTTAATACTGTAGTTACTGTTTGTATACTAACTGAATGGACCTTTAGAACATTCTGTTCACAGACCTCGATGCTTTAGAGAATTGTATAATTTGTAGAGTGAAATGTACTATGCAGAATTTTCATCAGATATGGAAGAGGTGACAAAATATTCATGTCATGGACTTGTGCAGTGAAGTGCCCTGTTCACCATTCTTTTTCTCACTATTGGAGCCATATAAAATGTAAGCAAGTAACATTGCTGCTTTGAGATTAAGGAGCTAGTGGGATCAGTATGGGGGGGTGGGGGTCATATAAAATGTTGTCTATATAGAGTGGGTTCAATCCAGGAGAGAAACTATTGAGCATGGGTTGCATGATCAACAGCCTTGGGTTTGAATCCAGATGCCTTTTTTTAAAGTTTATTTATTTTGAGAGAGTGTGTGCATGTATACGCATGAGCAGGGGGAGGGGCAGAGAGAGAGGAAGGAGAGAATCTCAAGCTGACAGCATTGAGCCCAATGCAGAGCTCCATCCCACAAACTGAGATCATGACCTGTGCTGAAATCAAGAGTTGGATGCTTAACCGACTAAGCCACCCAGGTGCCCCCATATGCTCTTTTATAGGCTTTGTGACCTTGGGCAAGCTATTTAATCTTCCTAAGTTTCAGTTGTTGTTGTTTAATGTATAAAATAGACATATTAATGGTACGGTACCTGCCTCATAGAACTGTTTGTTCTTGAGATTCAGTGAGTAGTACTTTGAACTTAGTGTAGTGCCTGGCACAAAGTAAGTCTGCATCTCTGTGTAGTAGCACTGAAAGAGAGCCCAAGGGTATTGCCAGTGACCGTTAAAATGGGTAGTCTAGTTTGGTGGACTTACATAGATGTTATATTTGAAGTTGCCATGTAGGTATACGTATGTTTACTAATTCAGAGTTGTTAAAGTCTGTAAAGCTAAGATTTCAAATCTGTATGTGGAGTGTTAACATGGAAAGATGTTGTGGTATAACCTATAGAAGACTATAATACAGAGGGTATATGCTACGATCCCATTTTTGTTACAATGAAAACTCAAATATTTCTTAAACTTTTTATTTTCAATAGTTGAACACATTTTTTCATATTTTCTTCGTCTTGATTCTGGAGTAGAAATTACAACCTATGTGTTCAAAACCCTCATGCAGCCACAGCAATAACTGTGGTTAACAGTTTACTTTTCAGATGTGAAGCTCCAAATTTGGTGTTAAAGACAAGAAACAGTTTATTCTGTACAATTTAATACCTATGTTTACAGGTCCCCTGTGGGAGAAATGACCAAAAAAGACTTTTTTTAACCATGGTCAATTAAAATTTTTTTGAATTTGTTTTTATTTTTGGAAAAATTATTTTATATAGTTACTATATTCATGACATATGACATTCCAGAGATCTAAAATGGCAGGCAGTGCAAGGTGTCCTTCCCACTTCTGACCCCAGTTTCTCAGGACCAGTTTCTGGAGGTGGCCACTGTTGCCACATTCTTGGGAATTCTTTCAGAGATGTTTCATGCCTATAGAAGCATCCTTTATGTATGTATGTGTATGTATGTATACACCTCTCCCCTCACTATTTACACAAAGATTACATACTACTCACACTGTTCTGGGGGAGGAGGGATGAGACTATATGAAAAAGTATGTAGTCAGTTATGTTATGAAAGAACATGTTTATTGAAAGTAATACTTATCTTGATAAATATGTATATGTGTGTGTGTTTTTTTTTAAGGTTTCCTTTTGTAGCTGTTTCAATTGGCTTTACTGTAAATAAAAAGGTATGCTGTTTAAATGTATGATTGGTAAAATGCCTTGCTCTCATTTTCTGAGAAAGAGTAAATGTGTCTTTGTAATAAATTTAGGTTTGTCTCTACATTCAATTTACATAGCTGCATTATTTCAAAATACACTACGGAACTCTTAAAGTTGGCATGATACCTTTTCCAGTAAGAATAAAAATTTAATGTCTTCTGAGAAGCAAGAATTGAAAAAAACCTCGCAAGTAACTGAAATACAATTCAGTGTTTAATCACCATGATCTATTGTGATAGAGTCAGATGTGATGGGTGTTGTGATCTAAATGCTTAACAGAAGTGGTAGGGTTGGAGCTAGGAATGCCTTACTAGGCGTCAGTGAAGGGAGACTTGGAAAGACCAGAAAGCGGCAGTGGCCAAAGCATGGTTGGAAAATGCTGAGTGTGTTCAGGAACTCAATTACTTGCTATATCTAAAACCCAATAGAATATAATCTCTAGCTATTATGTTTCCTTGTTTGGCTATTTGGTCAAACAGTGATGTGTACTAACATCTTCTTCAAGGAGCTTGTGATAAATTTGACCAGCATGTATACAAGAGAGTCAAGAAATCTGTGAAAATAAAAACGCATCTTAGGCACAAAGTGTGTTAATTAGTGAGAACATCCAAAAGAAGCTAAAGGAGCCTTGAGCATATAATCGGCCCTGGGCTGTGTGCTGTCCCTGCCACTGAACTAGCTCACACTTCGTGCAAAAGTTAGATGTGTAAACAGATAAATATGTGCTGGGACTATGAAAAAAGGCTGTGAGAACATGAAGAAGGTATATCCAGTTACGCCTAGAGTGGTTTGGGGAGGCCTTCGTAACAGAAGGGGTCTTAGGAAGTCAGTCATGTGAGTTTGGTCTTAGCAACTTAGGAGTTTGCCAGATAAGAAAAGGAGGAAAGCATTTGAATCAGAACAGCTTGGAGAAGAGCATGATGTGTGTGGGGAACAAGATGCTCATCGTGAATGAAACTCTGAAAGTGGCAGGGGCAGAATTGATGAGGTGAGTTAGTTGTGATTTTGTTGTGAGGCACTGTGGCCTGTCTGTGCCAGAACATTTGGGTTTTGTTTTAAGGCAGTAGGAAACCAATAGAGGTTTTAAAGTACAGAGTGACAGATAATTCCAGCAATGTAGAGATCATACCAGAGGGGTGCAAAGGGTGATTCTGAACTAAGATGGGGCAGTGAGGATGGCTGAGGAAATGCCAAAATCAAGAAGTACTTTCAAGATAAAATTTGCAGAGGGAGACACACGGGGAAGGAATGAGGTGTGATCAGGTAATGAGTGATTTTTGGCCTCGGGCTGAGTCTTGAGGCAAGACTAACTCAAACCTGGCTTCCTACCTCTGATAATGGGGTTATAAGTGGCACAGGCCAAAGTTAAAAGTGGTAGTTGAATTTATAGACTGGAAAGAACGAACTTACAGGAATATAGAGAGCTAAAAGGGAAATGGAAGATATGGAAGAATGAGCAAATCCTGAGCCACGTCACTTTTAAGGGTTGGACACAGAACAAGGTCCTTAAAAAAACTGACCCCAAGATAGATTAGTGAGTGAAGTAGGACTAAGAGTACTGCCAGAAACCTGGAGGTGCTGGATTAAGTAATGAAGAAGTGTGGATAATTGTCAGCAGGCTGCAGTTCTTCAGGGAAGGCATTTGGTCAATAGGAGTTCATGGGTAATTTCTTTGCAAGAAGTTTGAGGAGAGTGCATGATTAGGGCAGAAGCCAAATTGTAATTTTTATTACTAGAAGAACAGGAGAAGCAAAGTATAGACTGCCCTTTAGCGGTGAAGAGAAAAGGAGAAGATAACATTTTGAAAGTTGTGCAAGGGAGCTAGAAATTGAGTGTGAAAGTACACCAGCATGGAAATCTGAGAGAAGAAGAATCAGTTGATGAAAGAATTTTTCAGAGAAGCTTGAGAGAGGGTAGGAATCATAATACAGAAGGAAGTACTCACCTTAGAAAGTAGGAAATACTTGTCTTTATCTGAGGCAGGAGGGCAGGAGGTCAAGGCGGGTGCTCTTAAATTGAGAAATAGATGGGACAAGAGTCAAGGATTCAAGTCTGATGACCTCTTTCCTCTGTTTAAGCTGGAAATTAGCATTAAGTATCCCACAGTAGTTCTTTGAACACATTCTTAGCATACCTGATTTTTTTTTTTTTTTTATTGTCACTGCCTTAGAAAAAGTACTCATTTGATGATGAAAAACACTCAGGTTTGATAAAGGAAAATTTTTCCTTCTGCAGATGGAATTTGGAGTTGTATACAGTTGCCTGGAGGATAAGATGTATACCGGCAGGAAAGGAAAGGGAGCCTTTTGTAATGGTCAAAAACTACAGGTTTCACAACAAGAAGGTAGGTTTATCCTCTGATTTTTGATGTGATTGATATTACATACGTGTGCTTTGAATTTTTTGAGTTAACATGTAGAGTTCACTCAGTTAACAGATTCATAAATTGTGTATACTTTCCTATTACTTCTTAATTTCCACTGCAGTTTTGAATGTGGTAGTAGGAGCAAGGATCTCGAGTATAGTCCAGAAACACCCCTTCAGCCCCAGCAGCTTGCTAAGTGCTGGGATAGGAAGATAAATAAGAAGGGCTCCCCGCCGCCATGGAGTTCACGGCTCATTGTTTCAGCCACTGCATCTCAAATTCTTTGTCAAAGTCCTCTGATCTGATGCCACTGGGGCCGGTTGTCAGACCATAAATGTGGGAGAATAAAAGTCTGTTACAGTTGGGAATCATTAAAAATGACATGACACATACACATTTTTCATGACCTTGATGACTGGCGTTTTGTCTTTTATGTGACGGCTCATTGAGGTGGGAGTGTCCCCTTTTTTCCATAAACCGTGTCCAGCACTTCCCTGGTGGTTCTTTCAGGTGCAGCAAGAACTTAGACGCTTCAGAATCCCCCTCCACCTGCGTAATCTTTCTCCTCAGACACTTAATTTGAGAGCAGATTTTTAGTTCATTTAGTTCGCTTTTAGTTCAGTTTAGTTTATTGAACTCGAAGACCCCAAAGATTGGAAGATGCGTCCTGATTTTTTCAAGATGTTAACGTGAAAGAAGTGCATCTTAGAATCAAAGTAATATAGTTTTTAATTAGCTTATGTGGTATTAGAGGAAACAAAAGTAAACACATTCGGAACAAGCTGGTAAGCGTCCGTCTCCACTGGTGGGAGCAGATGACGCGTAGGGTACACAAGGGAGCCTGTTAGCCAAGAGGGTTGCGTGTGTCATGAGCTTCAGTCATGTTGTTTCAAAGAGGGCACAGATAGCATTGGATAAGCTGTCAGGTTAGTAAATGGAGGTCAGCCACCACTTAACTTTCGTTTTATTTCAAATCTATATTTAAATTTCCCCAAGTTTTACTTTTTAAATATTTAAGGTATTTGCTTGTTTCCCACGAAACATACCATGCATGCAAGCAAATTGGTTATATTCTACACTTTGGGGGGATGATCTAAGAAGCAGATTCTTTTGGTGATTATAAAACAACCACTTTGAGGATAATAAATTTATCAGAATTTTAAATACTTCAAGGCTTAGAAATTTGATACAACCAGGAAGAGGGATAAAAATGTCCCATTTTGTTCTAAATTATAAGTATCACATTTTTTATCAGAATTCTTATTAAACTCTAGTGATTATTTAAAACATTCTCTTTCAGATATTACCAAATCACTCTTGGTGACAGAGTTTGGCTCTTCTAGAACACCAGAGACTGTAAGAATTATTCTTTCTAATCTGGAAAGGCTTTTGTGTGTTCCCATTCATGGGTAAGCTCTTTTCATTTATTCCCTGAAGTTCCAGAGAATTTAACATCTTAAAGAATGAATTTTCCTTAAACTTTTTTTTTTTTTTTTAACATTTATTCATTTTGGGGAGAGAGAGAAAGCGTGCGTGTGTGCAAGCAAGTGGGGGTGGGGCAGAGAGAGGGATACACGGAATCCGAAGCAGGCTCCAGGCTCTGAGCTGTCAGCACAGAGCCCGACTTGGGGCTCAAACTCATGAACTGTGAGATCATGACCTGAGCCAAAGTCAGGCGCTTAACCTACTGAGCCACCCAGGCACTTCGAATTTTCTTTTAGAAGTTAAATTTTTTTATTAATAGGCTTGGGGTCAGTACCATAATTCTAACTTTGTAATGTAACTAAGAAACCTTTTTATTTGAGAACAATTTCATATGTGACAAAATTTGCTGAAATAATTAAAAAAAAATCCCTTTACTCAGATTCACCTGTTGTTAACATTTTACCCTATTTGCTTTATTTTTTCATTCCCTCTGTGTGTGTGTGTGTGTGTGTGTGTGTGCGCGTGCGCGCATGCATACATGCAGTTTTTTTCCCCCAAACTAATTTAGGGTCAATTGCTTACATCATGACTCTTTATCCCTAAATACTTCAGTTTATTTCTTGAGATTGATGAGAGATATTTTCTTCTATGATCACAGTACAATTACTGACTTTATAAATTTATTTTTTATCTGATGTACCATCTGTATTTAATTTTGTCACTTGATATAATGTCCTTTGTAGCCTTTATTTTATTTTATTTTATTTTATTTTATTTTATTTTAACGAATGTAAGATTCAGTCTGGGGTCAGGCATTACATTTAGTTATTATGTCTGGTTAGCCACCTTTAATCTGGAGTGTTTCCGCAACCTAAGAAATTACCCACTTCCTCTCAGTTTTCAAATTATTTGCATGAATGGATACAAGGTAGACTCTTATAATTTATTTCTGGTTTCTCTGTATCGATGGTTGTCTTCCCTTGTCACTTCTTATTTTTTATATTTGTGCTTTGTTTTTGTAAATCTTGATTAAAGTACTTACGTGGCTTGTCTTTTTTTTTTTTTTAATGTTTATTTTTGAGAGAGAGAGAGAGAGAGAGAGAGAGAGCAATCGCAAGTGCGTAAGCGAGGGAGGGGCAGAGAGAGAGGGAGACACAGAATCCGAAGTAAGCTCCAGGCTCTGAGCTGTCAGCATAGAGCCTGATGCGGAGCTCGAACCCACGAACAGCGAGATCATGACCTGAGCCAAAGTCAGACGCTTAACCGATTGAGCCACCCAGGCGCCCCTCTTTTTGTTTTTGTTTTTGTTTTGTTTTTTTTGTTTTATCAAAGAACCAGGATTATGATTTATTAATCTGATCTATAGTTTTTCTCCTCTCTGCCTTATTATTTTCATCCTTGTGCCTTTCTTGGTTCCTTTTTAAGTAGAGAGTTTGCTTTTATTCTTTCACTTTTATTAATATAAATATCTAGGCTATGAATTTCTGTCTTACCTCTGTGTTAAATGGTTCCGTAGATTCTGATACATAGGGTTTTCATTCTAATTATTTTCATAAAATCAGTAATTTGTTTGTATTTCCTCTTTCACTTAAGAGTTCTATTCTTAAATTTCTACAAAGAAAGTTTCTTTAAATTTCATTTTTTAATTTTAGTAGTTTTGTTACATTGTAACAAATCTGCTATGGAACTTACTAATGTTTTGTTTGTGCATTCTATAATTAATGTTTGTTACAGTTCCATATGCACTGAGTTAAAGTATATGCTCCATTGTCAGGGTATAATGTTTGATATATAGCCTAAGGATTGACCTTATTGTGTTTATTTTTCTACTTCACCTGTCTCATACTGAGTGATATGTTAAATTCTTCTGTTATTAGTGTGTTTCTCAGTATTTCTCCTTGGAAATCATAAAGTTTTTTTTTTTAATGTTTATTGATTTATTTTGAGAGAACATAAGCAGAGGAGGGTGAGAGGGAGGGAGGGAGGGAGAGAATAGAGAGAATAGAGGGAGGGAGAGAAGCAGGCTCCACACTCAGGGGGAGTCCGATGCAGGGCTCTGTCTCACGACCATGAGATGACCTGAGCTGAAATCAGGAGTTGGACATGTAACCCACTGAGCCACCCAGGCACTCCTACAACTCTTAGAGCTTTTATCTTATATAAGGTGGAAGCAGTATTATTTGATGCCTATACATAACTGTTACACCTTCTTGTATCATTTTAACTTTACTTACAGTATCCTTTGTTTTGTTTCATCCTTTTGGACTTAGTCTACTTTGACATCAAAAATGAAAACTCTGCCTCCTAACTATTATTGCCATTTGCTTGGTACATGTTGGTCCACTTTTATTTGTAGCCCTTTTGAATCATTGTTTCAAGTGTGTCTCTTGAATACAGCCTGGAATGGAGTTTTGTTTTATAATGAATTTAATTTTTTTTCTTTTAACAAAACAGGCCTGTTCAAATGTTAATATGACAGTTTAGTCTCAATTCTACCCTTTAGTCTTAGTTCTTTGTTGGTCTTAACAAAAGGACTGCTACAGGCGTCTTATAAAGTTTTCCCGGTCACCTTAAGATTGTATGAAGCTCATCCTTTATGGGTTCCTTGGGAAGGGCACATGTGCATAAAGTTCCATGAGTTCTGGCACGTTCCAAACTCTTCTTCTGTGGCTTTGAAACTTGAACAGCTTGGCTGGATGTAATATCCTTAAGAAACAAAGTATGGACTAAATTTCTTGAAAATGCTATTTTACTGTTGCCTTGCTTTGTATGTTGCTTTTGAGAAATCTGATGCCATTCTAATTTTTTTGGCTTTTTAATTCATGTTTTACTTGGAGGCTCTTTTTGTTTTGTTTTGCTTTTTTGTTTTTTAATCTTTCTAATTGTACAATGATCTTGGAATTGCTCATTCTGGCAGTTTTCTCCTTTAACATGTACACTCATGTCTTTTTTTATTCAGGAAAATCTTTGAATTATAGCTTTAAAAATTTTTTATATTTATTTATTATTGAGAGAAAGAGAGACACAGAGCGTGAGCAGGGGAGGGTTAGAGAGAGGGGGGAGACACAGAATCCGAAGTAGGCCCCAGGCCCTGAGCTGTCAGCACAGAGCCTGTCGCGGGGCTCGAACTCACAAACTGTGAGATCATGCCCTGAGCCGAAGTCGGTCGCCCAACCGACTGAGCCACCCAGGCACCCCTGAATTATAGTTTTAAATACTAATTCAGTTCTCATTTTCATTTTCTGTTCTGTTTTCATTTCTTCAGGACACTAGTAGTAATGTTCAACCTGCTTTGTGTCATCTTTTTCAACTACTTTCTCTCTGACCCTTTTTACTTCTTTCCTTTATTGCTTTTCCTCATTGCCCTTCATTAGGTTTTTATTGGCATCTGTTCTCCTAAGGGTACCTTGTAATCTACTTTTCATTCATGATACAATTTTGTCTCCCCCCCTCCCCCATCTTCTTTTCTGAGGTTTATGCATCTTTTATTTCTTCCTTTTCCCACCCCATTTCTACAGCAGTTTTTTTGAATTTCTGATTTAACTCCCTCCCCCACCCCCGTATTTACAAACATTTGTTTGAGGGTATTTAATTCAGGTTGGATTGATTTCATTTTCAGTTTTTTTCAGTCTCATTGTGGACTTTTTGGGGGAGACTTTATCAGGCAAAAAAAACCAAAAACAAAAACAAAACACTTTCATTAGCAAATGTCTGATATTTTATAGTAGTTCTGTATGGATGTGGTCTCCTTTTTTTCTATTTCTGTTCATTTTGTGATCAGTGTTCCTGATTTCAGAACTTTTTATTCCCAGTTCTGCCCTTCTGTGCAGTTTCTTTTATGATAATCTATTAAGTTGTGGTGGGGATTGGGGGTTGGCCTATGTTTCACTTTTATTTCTGTAGGATCCTTAATTTTTCACTAATTCTTTTCCTTCACTTCCTAGTCTAAAAGGGGTGGCACTTAAAATTTTTCTTGAGCTATAATTGACATATAACATTCCTTTCTTTTCTTTTCTTTTTTTTTTTTTTTTTGAGAGAGAGACAGAGACAGCACGAGTGGGGGAGGGGCGGAGAGAGAGGGAGACACAGAATCAGAAGCAGGCCCCAGGCTCTGAGCTGTCAGCACAGAGCGGGACGGAGGGCTGCCACCCATGAACCAGGACATCATGACCTGAGCCGAGGAAGTCAGATGCTAAACTGACTGAACCACTCAGGCACCCCAGACATATAACATTATTTTAATTTCAGGTATACAGTATAATGATTTCATATTTGGATATATTGTGAAATGATCACCACCACAATAAGTCTAGTGAATATCTATCATCACATAATAGAGTTTTTTTCTTCTTGTAGTGAGAACTTTTAAGATCTACTTTCTTAGCAACTTTGAAATATGGGATACAGAATTTTTTTTTTACATTTAATAACTTGTTTTATTATTTTATTTTTTTAAATTTACATCCAAATTAGTTAGCATATAGTGCAACAATGATTTCAGGAGTAGATTCCTTAATGCACCTTACCTAGTTAGCCCATCCCCCCTCCCACAACCCCTCCAGCAACCCTCAGTTTGTTCTCTGCATTTAAGAGTCTCTCATGTTTTGTTCCCCTCCCTGTCTTTTTATTATTTTTGTTTCCCTTCCCTTATGTTCATCTGTTTTGTCTCTTAAAGTCCTCATATGAGAGAAGTCATATGATTTTTGTCTTTGACTAATTTTGCTTATTATGATACCCTCCAGCTCCATCCATGTAGTTGCAAATGGCAAGATTTCATTCTTTTTGATTGCCGAGTGATATTCCATTGTATATATACATATACACCACTTCTTTATCCATTCATCCATCGATGGACATTTGGGCTCTTTCCATACTTTGGCTATTGTTGATAGTGCTGCTATAAACATGGGGGTGCATGTGTCTCTTCAAAACAGCACACCTGTATCCCTTGGATAAATGCCTAGTAGTGAAATTAATTGCTGGG